GAACTCAAGATTCTATGGGAATAACTTGAAATTTATATGTATATTTCACAATGCGTATGTAGAATTTGATGCTCTTGTGCTGCCATGAAAAATGCAAAAAGCAATCACAATCTACTATATGTTATTCGATTTCTTATAGGCTTGAATGAAAGTTTTGCTATTGTTAAGTCTCAGATTCTATTAATGGATCCCTTACCCACCATGAACAAAATATTTCCTATGGTCTTGCAACATAAGCGACAAGGCAATTTTACTTCCTCTGAAGACTCTCAAGCATTGATTAATGCTATCAATTTTAAGAAAGCAAGTTACAAATCTGGAAATTCTGGACCCCATTCCAACACATCAAAATCCAAAGTTTGTACTCACTGTGGAAGAACTGGTCATACAGTTGAGGTTTGTTATCGAAAACATGGCTTCCCACCTCCTTTTGGTAAATGATCCAAAATTAACAATGCTACTATAAATTACAATGAAAATGATGATTATGCCTCAGTTTAACAAGATGAGAAGCATGAACCTGCCCCCATTACTCAAGCACAATTTGATAAACTAGTGAATCTTCTTCAGCATTCAACCATTAGCCAAGGATCAACCTCTGCAACTTCTAATCAAGTTAGTTCCTCTTAATTTACAGGTTATACATCTGTAGGTGCTCCAGGTAATCCTCGCTCTTTCATTTATAAATGTTCCACTCTTAACTCATGTATAGTAGACTCAGGAGCAAGGATCACATTTGCTCCAGTCATTCTTGGTTTCATCATTTGAATTATGTCACTCCTATTAATGTCAAACTGCCAAATGACCAATTTGCTCTTGCTAAATTCCTTGGTAGAGTTAAGTTTTCCTCGGAGTTCAGTATTTCTGATGTCTTGTACATACCAGAATTTTTTGTTAATCTCATTTCAGTCCCAAAATTATGTAAAACTTTCAATTACAATGTCGTTTTTAACACTAATAATTGCTTCATTCAGGACCCTTAATCACTGAAGATGATTGGCTCACCTGAAAAGTTTGACAGATTGTGTCACCTAGTTCTCAAAGACAAGCATGCTACTCCTTATGTAACAAACAATGTTTCTGCCCATACCATCCCTACCAGTGCTCTATGGCATTTTAGATTAGGCCACTTGTCTTTTTCTAGATTACAAGCTTTGCAAGCTATTTTGCCCTTTATTGTTACCGATAAAAAGTCAGTTTGTGATGTCTTCCATTATTCTAAACACAAGAAATTACCTTTCAATAATAGCTTTAATGCATCTTCTCATCATTTTGAGTTAATTCATTTTGATGTTTGGGGCCCTTTGGTCATTAAGTCACATAATGGTCATTCATACTTTTTTACTGTTGTTGATGATTTCAGCAGGTTTACTTGGATTATTTTGAAGAAAACCAAAGGTGAAACTAGACCAAATGTCCTTAATTTCATTAAAATGATTGAAATCCAACATAAAACTAGTGTCAAATGTGTTAGAACTGTGTTGAATCTCCTCAACAAAATGGAAGAGTTGAGAGGAAACACCAAAACATCTTAAACATAGCTAGGGCTCTTCTTTTTCAAGCCAATTTACCTAATAAATTTTGGTCTTTTGTTGTTCATCATGATGTATTTATTATGAATCGTGTTCCTAGTATTGTTTTACAAAATAAATCTCCTTACTAGTGCATGTACAACAATGATCCTGAATTACATAATTTGAAAATCTTTGGTACCCTCACATATGCCTCAATAATAAAGGCACATAGAACTAAACTTGATAATCGTGGGAGATAATGCATCTTTTTAGGCTATAAGCAAGGTGTTAAAGGATTTGTCCTTCTTAATGTCAATAACAATGAGATATTTGTCTATAGACATGTTGTCCATCATGACCATATTTTCCCCTTCAAGCTAAATTGGCAATACCACACTAGTGACAATGTCACTCATGAACCTACTCACACATGCCATGATTTTTTATCCTTAGACCAATCTAACTCCCACACTTATCCTGATCCATTACAATCACCCCAAAGTGACCCAACCATTACTGTTGACGGTCTCCTTCTCTTTGTACATGATGTAGGTCCAAGCTTTATGGATGAGTTCATCCAATGATCGGGGAGGCTCGATGGCATCCGCCTTCAAGAAGTCGTTGCTTGGCGGAAGGCCTCTTTCGAGCAAGTACCTCTTCATGCGGTCGATAATGGGGACTTAGATGGGCTCACAGTTGAATTGCTCGATGTAAGCTCTGAGAGGTTCGTCACTCCCCTGGATGATTGACTTAAGGGACGCCTTAGTCTTGTGGTGCGGCTGTGAAGTATTTGGCGAACTGGCCATTCAGGCTCTTCCATGAGGTGATAGACTCGGGGGTGAGGATTTTGTACTAGTCCATGGCAGTTTTCCTCAGAGTTATGGGGAAAAGCCTGCACTTGATGGCACCCCCAACGTTATAGAAGTGGAGCATTGCCTCGAAGATGTCGAGGTGGTTGTCGGGGTCTGTAGCACCATCATATTTATTCAAATGTGGAGGTTTCTCCTTCCATTTGGGAATAGGGGCCTCAATAATAGATTGGGATAGTGGACCGCAGGGGTTGTCTTCATCAGTTCGTTCTTAGAAACGAGATGGGGAATGGTCGAAACGATGGTCTCTATGGCGGGGAGAATTCTTTGCCCGAGTTCTCTTTGTTTCTTCCTTGCCCTTGTTCCTCTTATGAGAAGGGGATCATTGTTCTTTGCACGGTGGAGTGTGATTGCACTTCTTGACGATTTCAGGTTGGGTCCTCTTCAGTCGAGGGCCTCGCCCAGTGCGACGAGGAGAGGATTTGCGTGAGTCTTTCTGTTGGTGTCTCTGTGGAGGTATCATGAACGAGTTTCACGTCATTGTGAAGATGGGTTACGTGAATCATGTCTTCTGTGCCTCATAGGGGAGCGTGGTCGGTGGGCCTTCTCCAGCATTCCGAGGAATTCACCCTGCACGAAGATTATGTAATTGGTCTGAATTGATCACCGCGAACAAGGCCTGGGTTATCAGATCATCATTGGCGGGCACCATGATTTTCTGGTATGCTGCAGGTTTGTCAACATGCCGTTGAGGATTGCCAAGCAGATGCAGGAGGGTGGAGGAAGAAGTGGTCCTCATGTCCCTATCGTTGTGCTCGAGAATGCCCACGTTGTTGTTGTTGTTGCCAATGTTGACGAAGTGAACATTCTGGTCACCATTGTTGACTTGATCGACCATGACGATCAGGAAGTTGAAAGTTTGCTTTGGTATCAAGTTAAAGAAAGTCAGGGAATCAATTTCCCACAGACGGCACCACTGATCGTACATGATCAGAATGGATCGTCGATGGCCCACAAGCTTGGACTGAACGCCGATTGAAAGTGAAGTGGAGGGGGGGATACCTGTAAGACACTTTGATGCCAAAGTAAGGTTCAAAGCATAATGCAAGTAATGAAAAGTGTGAAGAATGATCTACCTGGCCCTCTAGTGAAAGAGTGTATTTATAGCCTCAACGCTGGGCCAAGACCTTCGTTATGGGCTGAGGATCCAGGCCCACAATGAACGACTGTCGGGAGTCACGCGTGTGAAGTGGAAAACGCGTGCCTACGATCCTGGTTCAACTGTTATGTCTTCTTCGAATAACGGATGACCAGTTCTTTATGGAGAGCAAGATGCCCCGTGATAATCAGAGGGCAGTTGACCACGTGCTCACGGAGGGGCACATGGAGAGTGTTCTTCAACGACTATGAGTTTGATCATATTATTGGACCTTCTTTAAAGGAGCATCGAAATGGGCCACGTCCTCAGTGAGTCAAACGCAGACCCAGTCCAGAACACTAGTATATATCTATACTCTATACTATTATATACTCCTATAACTTCTCCCACCAAATTTCCCTTTAAAATCTCCAATATTTAATGATAATAATAAAATAAAAATAATAATCTCATATATAAAATCTATATTTTTATAACTTCTCCCACTAAATTTCCCTTTAAAATTTCCAATATTTAATAATAATAATAACAATAATATATATATATATATATATATATATATATATATATATATATATATATATATATATATATATATATATATATATATATATATATATATATATATATATATATATATATATATATGAGATAGTAATAAAAAATAATCGATATTTTTATTGTTGTTTATTAGTTATTACTTTTTTGCGCAGATATTTTGGAGCATTACATTTTAGTAAAGATATTTATAAAAAATAAATTATGAAAGAAGATAGATTGAAATATTCTCATACTTTGTTATTTTTATTATTTTTTATTATTTTTAAACTCTATAGTGATAATCCAGCATGACATTTTTTTTTAATATTTATTCAATAGTTCTATTTTAATTTATTTATTTTACAACCAAAATGGTAATAAATATTATATATAGTTCACTTATTAAATCTATAAATTAATTTTATAAATTTTTTATTATTAATAATAACTCAACGTGATATTCCCGTTTATCGCACGGGTAAACGATTGTTTATGATAAAACCTAAAAAGTCAAGTAATTATTAATTACTAGTATGTGAGAATTATATTTTACCTTTTTAAATTTTTTATATTATTATTTACATTAAAACAAAGTAATCCGTGTAATCGACAGCATTTGTTCAAACGACGAGAGAAGAGGGAAGAATCAATCGAGGGTTTCATTTCTCCTCCTCCTCCTCCTCACAATTACCCTATCAATCAATCATCCTCATCATAAAAATCCCTAATTTCGCACTCGTAAGTTCCCTCTCTCTCTCGTTCCCCATTTTCCGGTTTTGTATCCATTCATATATTTTGTTCGTTTTTCTTCCATCAAACTTGAATGTTTTATTTTTTCTTTGCTGCTGTAACAACAAATTTTGAAACTTTAAAATGAATTTATTCACAAGTTTTGTAACTAGGATTTGAAAATTTAGTCTTCTGCTTCTGCCTCGTGTTCATTTTCTTAATTTGCTCGGTGTTTACAGGCTTTGTAGGATGGATTCAAACTCGCAGTCTCCGCCGCTTGGCGATTCGGACACCAAAAATGTATTTCGCAAGCCTTCCGGGGAGGCAGCTAATAGGAATTATCGGCGCCGTTCACCTATTGACGGCTCATCATCACCTGATGATGGTTTGAATCTTTTAAACTCTTGGACTTCTTATTTTTATGGAGTTACATTTGGTCTCGTGACGAATGATTATAATGTTTAAGGGTCTTGTATATTGTTTTTGATTGATTGTATGAACTGCATCATATTGTTCATGCATGATACTTCTTCTGCTGAATAGTAGATAGGTTTTCGTGTCTCGTGCCTGTTGTTTGCACTCCCACTCGGTGGAGTTTTTAAGAAGTCGATGAGTATGTATTTTCTGAAGATAGGACCTGAAGTAAAAGAAAGATCATTGAAGAAGATGAATGATGGCAAAATAGTATAACTAAATACGATACTATTGAGGTCCAGAAGGGTTAGGAAAGAAAATCAAAAGATGTTTCACAAAGTTGTTTAACAAGATTTTGTTGTCTAATAGCATGGCAATCGAGTGTAGGGAAATACTTTAGGGTCTGTTTGGTTTTGTGAAAACATTTCTGTTTTCATTTCCTGATTTCACTTATAATTACATTTGCAATAATATCACTTGGCTTCATTCTGTTTCCTGATTTTACTATTTTTTATGTATAATTTTCAATTAATTCTTAGTGCTTCTGTAACTTCTTTGGCCTAGTGAAGCAATTTCCAGTGCTCCCTCTTTGATTAAACTTGTCACCACTTTCTTTTGTCATGGTTCATGCGATTTGTGTTCCAAAATTTGATGCTATCCTTTTAATGTACGGGAATAAGCATATCCATTTAGGAATTGCACCCATGTAATCATATATGAAGTTTGTGCCTGAAGAGATATTATTCACGACGGGATATTATGGCATTGTCTAATCCTTGTTGTCGACCCCACTTGTTGAGAAAAAGGCTGTTTTCATCTTCTAAGCTCAGTTAAAGTTAATTAGTTTACTGTTCATATAAAGTTAATTGGTTTATTTGCTTTTATAGGTCAAGTGTCATTCATTACATTTTATGGCATTGCTTATTGTTTGTTAAGCAATTGCCTTCTGGGCATGTGCTATTATCAGTAGTCTTGTGTTGCAATCTGCCACTAAGGACTTTGTTCAGGATTTTGTATATCTTCTCTTGCCAAATTTTATCTGAGCTATTCTATATATGGAGTAGGGATTGGATGAAGAGAGCTATACTCTTCATTATATGCAGGTAGTCCCAGGCGAGAACACAGCTCAGGTCCATATCCATCTAGGGAAGATTCTGTGAGAGTCTCTCACCATCATTCAAGGAAGCTTGACGGAAGGGAACAAGACCGAAAATACGGCAGAAATCACTATGGAAGAAGCAATGATTCTCTTAGACATTCTGACAGACAGTCATTCCGGAGCTCCTTTGGTAACTCAAGACACGACAAGTATGCAGATGAGGATAGAAAACATGAGAGGTTATCATCTCGTTCTGCACGAGAGTCAAGGGGAGATCATATGAGAGAGGAGAGTGATAGCAGGTCAAAAGATTATGGGCGTAGTATGGATAAGTATTCACGTGAAAAATATGAAAGGTCTGATTATAGAAATAAGGAGAAAGATATGGAAACATTTTTTCAGTATCAGAAATATAAATATTTGTGTTCTCCATGTGACAGGTCTGGATCTGGCAAGAGGTGTGCGGAATATGATGAGGTGGAGAAGGAAAGACGTATGAGGGACGGGGATGGTCGAGATGAAAGAAAGGATTCTCAAAGAAGTTCTGGAGAACACAAAAGTGACCGTGCTGTTTCCTATTCAGAATCAAGGAGCCAAAAAGATGACAATGAGATTAGTAAGAACAAGGACCAAAACTCTAGAAAGGTAGGTGGGGTGTTTGGTATTGAAGATAAAGAATCTTTTGGAAAGAAACCAAAGTTGTTTGGTGCTGACAAGGATGACAATTCTGGAAAAGATGGTATTGTCTTTGTATTTTTTTAAAGTTAAGCCGAACACAATTATTCTTCTCAAATTTATTATTGTATTATGTTGTTTTTGTGCTAAAGCAGATGAAAGGAAGACTTCAAGGTCAAAGCTTTCTCATGAGAGCAAGCCATATGTAGGGGCTGCTAAGACCAGTGGCTTTGATAGTGGCAATGATATAGATGCTGCAAAAGTGGCAGCCATGAGAGCTGCTGAATTAGGTATACACTGCATTTTCTGAAAAGCTTTTTATTGAGATGTGGGCTTATGTTTTGTTTGTCATTAGTTGGATTCTGATTGTTTGAAGGTTCACGATTACAACTTTTAACCATTTGCTGAATGTGTGTTATTGTGGATTGGATGTATACCACGGGCATGTCTATTACTTTCAATTTAATAGACACATGTCTGCTATTCATTTATTTTATTTTCCCCATAAATGATTTTTTTCTACTAACTTGTGTTATCAATTCTTTCACTTTTGATTCTAATACTTGTAGATATCTTATGTGTTTTATTTATTTGGAAATTATGATGCATAACAGTTAACAAGAACTTAGTAGGGCCTAATTCCTTGACTACGGACCAAAAGAAGAAACTGTTGTGGGGAAGCAAGAAGAGTACACCCACTGAAGAGGTATATTTGTTAATTTGTTACATCTTCCCCTTTATTGTCCATGCTCAAAGAGTTATTGAGTCAGGTTATATAATGTCCCTTTTCTCCCCGTTTATATTGGATTCTTTGTTTAACAGCTCTATTGTAGCATTGTAGCAATGTGGTCTCTTCCAAATTTTGGAGATGCTTGTAATTATGACCTCTTCACAACTTGCATGTTTTGAGGTGACAAAGGGTTGTTTTTTTTTGTTTAACATCAACATAACTTCCTCAGCCGAGCGAGTATTGAAGGCATCCAACCTTTTAAAGTCTGTCCCCTGTCAAAAAACTCACACTCTAGTGAATTTGGAGTACTCACTTTAGAGGGTATAGTAAGACACGTCAACCATTTGATGATAAAATCAAATGTTGATATTCGAAGTAACACCCATAATTTGTTATGCACGCGCACGCCATATCAGCTGTTGATATGTGTTAAAGATTGAGATTACTTTATCTTCTATAAAGTGAGTGGCACATTTCAAAGGAGGTAGATTCCACTCTAGGTAATCTCATCCTCCGTAGGGTTGGGGTCTTTTTTGCTAGATCAGAAACTTACAGTCTGACCTGCAGTGGCCTCTGGTTGAATAATGTTCTCCTTTGATGTTTACTGTCTCATTTTGAGGAAATGATGTTTACAAATTTTATGGTGCTAGTTGTCCGATTACATGGACTCGACTATTTAACCTACTTATCTATTACATTTTGTACAAATATCATACACATTCCGTCGAAGTTGCATGAGGGTAATAGGATAAGTAGAGGGGTAAATAGTAAGTGCCCAGGCCTACAGTTCCGGATAACCTCTACCCGAGGTTTCCGGATTTATTATCATGCCATTTTTCTTGCTTTTTGCCATAGGTAATCATATATGTAAACATTTGTTTTGCTTTTCCTACAACCTGCTACCCTTTGATTGCTGCTCTGTAATGCATTTTCCAAATAATGCAGTCTGGCCATCGCTGGGATATGGCAATGTTTGATCGTGAGCGACAGGAAAAATTCAACAAACTCATGGTAAGTTTGGATTGAGTGTGTTGGTATATTCTGACCCAACAATAACATGAGATTGTTTAGTTGTTTCTGAATGACTGATGTACTCTGTTAGTGTTTCTTCGCCTACTAACACATTTTGAGTCTGAGGTTGTACTCGTGCCTATGGCAAATTGTAGGGCGTGAAAGGAGAAGCCAAAGTGGAGCAGAGCTCCGACAATCAAAATGACAACGATGCACTCCGAGCTGAGAAGCAGAAGGAACTCCAGCTGGATCTCGAGAAACAGTACACTGCAGGTCTCCGGCGAAGAGATGGCCGTACAGTTGGATTAGGTCTTTAAACGTTCACCAGCAGAATTTTGCATCCTTTGACTTTGGCAGTTATTTTGAGTATACAAAATATTCACTAGTGTTATTCACTGGATTAGGTCTTTAAACTTATCATGTTTGTTATATATGTTTGGGAGTTCATCACGTGTATGATCTATGTATGATCTGATATTTTGAGGAGCTTATCACAGTCGTACAAAATTTAAATGCGACGGTTTGATGCTAGAAGGATATATAATGGAGCTGGGAGAGGTGTGAGAAAACATAGATAGTGATGAGGTTTCATCGATATCAACGCAAACAAATTAGAAGTTTTGAAGTACTGTTATTTGGTACTTGCTTGATATGTGGATAAGCACAAGATTAGTGATTATGGCATTATGAATATGCTAAATGGCGCATAGGTAAAGCAAAGGAATTATAATTGTATTTTTGATCTGAAATTTTTGAGCTGGCCACTGATGAAATAACATGAAAGAAAAAAAAATGGGGGAGGCGTCTGTTTCAAGTATACATTTATAAACCTAGATATTCCCTCTAACCTTATAATTGTGAATGCGGATGCGTCTGTTAAGGAATTGTTTGACATCTATAGTAACTTTTTGAAATTTATTTAGTTCAAGGATAGGTAAAATCGACAAATGTGGAAAGTTATTGGTAGTTATTTAATTTTTTACGAAAGTAAAATAATACTATTTTTATTTCCATATAATATTTTTCAAAATATTATATTTTGTTAGTTTGATAATAATCCAACATTTTCTTTACATGTTAGTATTACTGTATGTATCAGTTTCTATCAAATACTAATATTGTTTAGAAGACATATTTTATTTATTTAATTTGTGTTTTTGTTTTATTAGCTACAAGTGTGAAGAACTGCCTTAGTATACATGTGTCTGTTGTTTTCTTGTCTGCATGAGTTGTAATTTTTAAAATTTAGTTTTGTATCAAGCTGACTGACAAATCAAATCAATATATCCTCTATTATAGAAATCTCTCTCTTGTATACATGGCTCATTTTATACTACTTTAATTATAATAATAATTTATGTTTAATTATTTGTAATGATTATTTTTTAATTTACGTTTTTCATAGACTAAAAGTTAACTTGATAATAGCAATAATTAGTGAAACCAAAAGAAATAAAATAATACCATTTCTAAAAAATTTAAAGAAAAGTAAAAAAAATACCATTACTATATGAATTTAGGGAAATGGTTTTGAGAAGAAAGATGAGAAGTCAGGAAAAGAGAGAAAATGAAATGGAAGAGAGAGAAAGAGAGGAGGCAAATGAAGTGGATTAAGGTGAAAAAGAGATATAGCATATGTGATATCATTGTTTAATAATAGAATTGGTCACTTAAATGTATAATGACAAAAAAATCAACAAAATTAATAGGTGTATAAAAAATAAGAATGGGTAGCAATGTAATTTTCAGAGCCTCTATCTTTCTTATATGGTAGATTGTCATTTTTAAATTGAGGGTGAATTTGTTATTTTTAAATTAAGGGTGAATGGTAATGAAGTTTTACAACTCTTTAATTATTTGGGTCTTCAATTATTTAGGAATCGTAAGGGATTCTTTAGTGTGGATTTCATATTAATAATGAACCTTAATTCATGAACCTTAATTCAAGAGTGATATATATATATATATATATATATATATATATATATATATATATATATATATATATATATATATATATATATATATATATATATATATATATATATATATATATATATATATATATATATATATATATATATATATATATATATATATATATATATATATATATATATATATATATATATATATATATATATATATATATATATATATATATATATATATATATATATATATATATATATATATATATATATATATATATATATATATATATATATATATATATATATATATATATATATAAAGTAAGAGTTGTGTAATTTTTTTATTTGAATAAGATCGTGTTGTAATTATAAATCAAAAGTAGTGTTCTCTTGTAACATTGAAATTGCTATAAAGGTTACAAGTTGAACATAAGTAAAAAAATTTTATAAGGAGATTGTGTGTTGATCCTGTAATAAAGGAACAACATTAGTTTTCTATATTTGAATTTGTAGTCTTTAGAAGAGGCTACTAGTTAAATGACCCATCAGTCCTCGATCTAACATGGATTTGACCCCTATCTAAAGCACAAATATTATGATCTCAAACTAACAGGGGTACATGGGTTCAACCTCTATCCAACACACCAATATTACGAGGGAAACACTCATTCCATCCAATTGGGTACGCCTCACACCTCTGAAAATCTAAAAATATCCTTATTGGTGTCTGGAGTCTGGACACACCTAATATCACACCAATCCTCGTAATTCAGCTATACACCCCATTTTTGCCAAAATCTGGTTCGGATATGCATCTCTGTAATTTTTTGGGGTGAATTCGAAGATGCATCTTTGTAAACCCCATGAAAACATTCTAGGCATCAACGTTGTCCTAACTTTGACATTTTTAAGGCCAACTTATATTTTAAGTCATTTTAGGATAACTTTTTATCATAAAACCATTTAAGAATGTCATAATTTGATTCAAAGTACTATACATACATTAAAAAAACTCATATATTAATTCAATAAATTTGAAATATACCGACCATACATAATATGTTCCAAAAGTACAAAAGATAATACAAATAAACATAAACTACTGGATATGTCTAACCTCCTAGTTTCTTCTCTACCGCCAGTACTGTAAGGAATTCCGCGACTCACCAATAATGACTTGTACGAGGGCCAACTATGGAGCCTTCCTCAAAAAGTCCAGCCTCTATGCCCGATCTCTCAATTTCCTTAATACGCTAACAGACTGGAAACACATCATAGGCGTGGTCACCCCTTGCATGCTCATCCTTCAATCTTTTGATGAGATGACCTAGGTAGTCATCCAAGAGTGCATGGTTTCATGATAAGATGTGACACCATATAGAACCATGTGATGTAGCTATCTGCATAAGTCTACTGTACAGGAACTAACACCCAACGATATTCCTCTGATACCAGATAACTATCGATATCCTCAAGCATGACATCAAGATCTCTGTAGAGGATGGTGGGAGTAGTAGACTCTAAGAGGTGTCTCATAATATCATGCAAATACCCAAACTGGTGCATCACTTGCTCGGGAAGATGCACATATTTCATACCTGGCCCATAAGTCAACCATTCTGAATATAAAAAAATGACGTCCATCAGATGTGTTTGGCGGTGACTGTCGTATGGGTAGAAGGCAATGTCATATATTACAGTGCGGTCAAGATACACTTAGAAGAGATCAATTGTCCGATTCTCTCTGTATAATGCAAGGGTGCAAGCAAGTGGCCAATCATTTTTCTAGTCCTGCTTAGGTTGCCAACTAGAAATGTGAGGAAAGTGAGAGATGCCCCATCTCTAAAAATGATTCAGATAAAATATTTATAACAAGTGTAACAAAAGAGTTATGAAAATATTTGTAACAATAAATTACTAGAAGCCGCGTAAAGCTTTATGTTCACTGCCTTGTCTTCCAAAGACAAGCTTTGCCTAACTTCGAGTACAGGTAGACCAAGAAGGTGCCCCCCAATTGTACTCGTAAATTGTTGTTAAGTCAATGAAATATTTAAGGTAGACCACATCGACGTAGGTTTCGCTTTTATCCACAAACATGGACGTGCCAACCAGGAACAAGAGGTAACACCTCAATGCACACGACAGGTGGTACTAACCTGCATATAATCACTGTCGACATCCACAACCATCTACATGTGGTATTTATAAAGGTCTTCCAATAATTTAAATCTTCCAATTTAAATCTAGCATGAGCACCTATGGTGTCAATTACCTCATTCTATGCATCAGTTGAGTCAACTCTCAAATATGTAACCATCATCTCGCTAGCTTCGTCTCGACTGATTCTAGAGTTATCTTGTAATTTTCTCCTAATGGGAAGATGTACGAGGCATGAGACGTCATCCTGGGTGATGCACATCTCACCAATAGGAATGTGGAAAATGATGTCTCTGAGTGTCATCTCTCTAAAAATACTGTCTACATTTCATGGTTCATGGTCTTGTACCCAAAATCACATAAATCGGCAAGCCCAGAGTAGTAGAAAACATTCTTAAACCAATCATCTTTAGGTTGTTCCAGCTCAAAAATCTTCCTTCCGTAGTTCGAAGATTTTAAACATGGATGCTCTTGTAAAAATAAATATATCACCACGCGATTAAATTAGTATAAAACATATGTAATGTAAAAGTAAATAAATATGCCTCTCTTTTCCAAACATGCTTAACAACATGGTATCCATTGAGATGAAGTAAGAAGGTGTCATATGAGCCTCCTGGATAACTAGCTACATGGGTATCTGCATCAACAACAAGTTCCTCTTAATTGGCTCAATAAGCTTCAGGGCTTCATAAGCCATGGACATGTGGCCCTATGAAGTAGATGCCTGAGAAAAACGACTTTAGGAAGCAGATGTTTGTGAACCTTGACCTTGTGAAGTCAACGCTTCCCCATCAAACGAGGTAGCATCGACCCGTGGCCTTGTAGGCCTGACCCTGACCCTCTCATGTTTTACAAACGCGTGTTGTGAGACACGACCAAGCCTCAATCTGTCCTGGTTGGTTTCAACCATTGTACTTCTAATAAAACTAGGAAATCACATCAATATGCAGTCAGACCAAATTCGAAGATACATCTCCGTAAACTAATTTAGAAAAAATCTGGAGATGCATCTCCAGATAACCTCGCAAGTTGTAGAAATGGCAGAAACCCCTTTGATGCCATAAACTCCAACAAAATAGAAATGCATGTCTATACCAACCACCTATTTTGAATGTAACTACTACCTAATGCATCTTAAACAACCTATTTTAGCTATAATACATTCATCATATCTCACAAAAAAGAAATGAAATGTGAAACTTATCGAATGAGAGTTATGGATG